TTTCAATGAAAATAGCATGTATTGTGATAGATTTATAGTATTAATTAAATGTTTTCAACTAAACATTTTGTATTGAATTGTGAACGTTTGGTAATTAGTGATATGTAATAACAGCATTTCTTTGGCATATCTTTGCATTTTCACCCGATGCTTGTCTCCTTTGTATATGCCCTCATCTTTATATCATCCATTTACAACCATATTTTCATCCAGTTGGATGGCAGAGTGATCAGATCATGTGGCTTATAATCAGAAGGTTGCCAGTTGAATGCCAGTCGTAGGTTGACTCAGCCCTTATTCCATTAAGGGTCTAAAATAAGTACCACTTTAGGGGAAGCCATCTCTACCGTATGATTGTATATTCTCCACCTGTGACATAAGTGGTGGGAATGTGAGTTGAGGACCACACTTTAGACTTTTTGTTCCCATTCGAGAAGCAATCCTTCCATTACCATCTGTGTATCCATTTATCCACGTTTTTTATTCTAGCCACTCTGCTACACGTGAACTGGTATAAATGAAGTGCCCTGCTGATGCAATAAGATACTAAAATGCCAGTGCTGTCCATTTTCTTATTTTTGGAAGCATCTGGCTTTCAAGTAGCTTCCAAATTTTTTTTTCCTTCTCATAAAACTGAAGCTGTTTTGGCTTCAATTGTTTTCGCAGTGTGAGCTTGGGCTCTTGCTGTCAGCAGCACAGGATGTCGGTCCCCTCTTATAATCCTTTGCTATGATCCCACGTTACAACACTTCATATGGCGAAAAATAATTTGTGTCTCAAGGTAGGTCGCTGTAGGACATCCTGTCACTTGAGGCCTTCAAAGCTGAACATTCCTAGTTTTATACTGGGGGGCGGGGGGGGTGTGACACATTGCTGTGAGGCCAAGGACCGTCTTCCAAGGTGTTGATGGACATTGGAATCATCGCGTTTCCATGTTTTCTTTGAGGCTTAACCTGCTGCTGCTGCTGTAGTTGCAGAGCACCAGCGAGGTAAAGTGAGGAGCTTGTTGCAGAGCAATGGATGATGCAGATAGTAAGTTTGTAGCGTGGTGTGTGCAGTAGAACATCCGTTACACGGGGTATACACGGGTCGGGAACATTTTTGTATACCAAGGCAGTTCCCGCCTCGCAGGGGGCTGGCACCTGGGTATCTTGACTGCTGTGTGACGCACACATGCCTCAGGCAAGGAGAGGAGAATAGGGAAAGGGAGGAGGTGGGTGATTGTATGGAACACCTCCTTGGGCTGTCCTTTAAATAGTACAGTGTACTGTCCAGTTATTGGCTAATTGGTGTGTCACCGAATTCGGACAATATCCGCAATGAAATAGGGACAAACATTTTGGTTAATTTCCTAATGTGCCAATTAATTGTCCTTAAGAAGTACAATATACGTTCAGCAAGATTGCTTAAAAGAAAGTCAAGTGTTAAAATTCGTTTGTTATAGTTGTGCGTATCTTTGGTTTGAATGTAAAGTGCCAACGTGCCGCATTGTCATTATGTTTGAGCTACAGCCTTTCAAAACTACACCCTACTATTACCCCGGGCGTCATCTGGCAGTATAATCTATGAGGGAACGTATAAGAACCAGGGGCTTGCTCAGTGCTGAATTTGAAAGCAATTATTAGTAAAAATAGGCATCCAAGAGACGCCTGTCACGAAAAAAATAAGCATTGGTGTGGTTCCATCTATTCACCACAAGGTTAATAAGTATTAGGGGAAAAGCGAGCTACCTGCGTTTGAATTACTGGGGTTTTTGTTTTGTTTATGAACGATGTTATGTTTATGTTTTGTATGCACTAGTTGTCAGGAAACAGATGGAAGTAATGACCCATGCTAGAGGAAATTGTAGAGGCAATCAGTCGGCTAGGTGGTGGACCTTTATGGTCCTGCTCATATTTGATTCGTGAAAAATTTGGAACATTTTTTTTTAGTGTGCACCTGTTTCTAAGATTGCAGTAATGTCAATGCACATTGCTTTACGCCTTATTGCTCATGTGACCATCATTCTCTCTGTTGAATATCTAGGCTCGCTGCCTACCTAATTCTGACAAGATATGTTCATCTGGTTGATTTCTTGATTTACTGACTTTTTATTTTTCATCTTGTCGCAGTATTTAATATTTGTACAACTGAGGTGGAATATTTAATGGTTTGCGGTGTTTTGGTCGTTCAATACGGACCTGCCATGCCATTTAAAATTATAGGTTATGCCATCAGGCGTTTGCCGCAGTATTGTGGTTAGAGTTACCAGCTGCGCAAATAGCAACACATTCTTCTGCAAAGCACCCATATCAGGTGAGACTGGCAAGACCAATTATATAATAATTATTGTTGCATTTGATTCGAATTCAATCCCCAACACGCAGTATTATGCAATTCCAAAAAACAACTAGCTGGGCCTTTTGTGCAGGCAGATTAGAGTCAACATTGTGTGCTGGTGGAGCCGAAAGGACAGCGGGCTATTGATGTAAAATTGCGATTCAAACATGCTCACTTGCATAGCAACAGAATTAGGAATGTGTATTGTAATGGAACTTGTAGGCAAAAAATAGGTTTTAATTAAAGGGCAAACCATTTTTTTTTTACCAAGGCTTATGTTTGAACAAAACAATCGGTTATCATTGAAAAATGTTATAAAAGCTATAGAAACAGCATTTTCATTATTCTGGGGATAAATGTAATAAACATAATTTATGCTGGTTCATTAGCATATGTTTATATACATATCATTTTTAATTGTCTCAAGTTGTACATTTTAAATTCTGAAATAGTCTCATATATAGTAACTCCAGTGCCGCTTATGAACCAGCTTCATGCCCTGCACCTGCACCTTACACTCTGTGGCGAAGACTTGTGAGTACACCACAGTACTGCGCAGAGTAACTGAACCTCTTCCACACTCGCAGGGTATCAATGGTTCTCAAGACAGACGGATGCCAGCTAAAATATATCGATGGCCATTAACATCAAGGGTTTCAATTCTGTTTGGCAGTTCTACGACATTGCCCTGCATTGGGCAAAATACATTGAAATGAATCTTATTCTCTCATGTTTTCAAAACCTGGAGATGCATTAATTGTTCAGTGTAGACGTTCAAACCACGAATTATTACCTGATTGGGTTTTGTATCAGGTAAGAGATTATTTTTGAAGAACATTTGCCTGGGGTTTTAAACTCATAATTAGATTTCCAAATTTAGAGCTGCTTATTTGGTACTGTTGTCAACAGTATCCGTTTTCTAAATCGGTTCCTTCTGATGATGTATATTTTTCACGTTGTTTTTTCTTTTTTACAAACCCTATTAGCTGGAACATATTTACAAATGAATTCAATAATTTTCCCTTTTTTTAAACCAGTGCTGGGAGACAGAAAATTTAATTACGTTATTGAGACATCTACATCTTTAAAGAATTTACCAGAAGTCCGTGACGTCACGTCATTGCGTATACCTAGTCATTGAAAGCAAGCAGACCAAGACTGAGAGAGAAAAAAATTCGCTTTTGTTGCAACGAGCCTCTAAGTGAAAGCGCGCGACGTCTGCAAAGACTGGGTGGGTGGCGTGGGCAGCCTTCTGACACGCAGCCTTTGCTCCTGCTCAAAAAGAGAAGCGGTATTCGCTGCAATTGGGAAGGCTCCACTTTGCGAAAATAAAAATTCCAATGGTAGGCAGCTCGCACCAATTCCACCTTCTTACACAAACCTCGTCAACCTTTTTTGTTTATGAAAAATTAGCTCTCCTGCCAAACAGCTGTTGCACGGAAATGTTAATCCTCACTTTCAGACCCTACGGGATCGTTTTTTTTTCACCCTTTAGGATTTATGAAATTGTCACAGCACCGTACACCGCAAAATGAGTCTTAGGTGTGATATCATTAGGCGTGCCTCGCCACCCAGAGCTTGTCTTAATTATCGTGTTGATGACAGTTAAAGTCACGGCACAGAATGTGAACATAATTAAATCAATAGTGAGCACCCCGGTGCGCTTAGAATGATGGTGAGCCCGAGGGGGCCAGTTGTCTGTCAAGAACGAATGATAAGACTTTTTTTTGGCTGCTTATTCTGAAGGTCGATAGTCCACTATTAGAGGATTGACAAACCTTTTGGGAACAACCTTTTGTCCCCTGTAGGGGCTTCTTAATGCCCTTCCTGTCTACATTCATTTTTCCAATGGTGTTTATTTCTTTAGCCCCATTAACCAATCCCTTTAAAGATCGTAAAGGAGTTGTGCGCAATCCGAACACGATGCCCGCTGCCCAAGCGTATGACGCGAGGTGGCATGGCATAACTACATCCAGACAAGGGGAGCAATAATATAACCATTTGCAGTAACCGTTGATTTCATTTTCTTTTCCTTCTCACCCTTGCTATTCGACCTCTTCAAATTAAAGTGTTATTTGTTTTCCCCCATGAAAGAGCAGGTCGTAAATTCAGTACCGCATCTTGTGTAAGTTGTGTGCTTTTTGCAAGAATGGGCAAAGTAAATCACAAACTGTTCCCGGCACAAAAATACTGTCAGGGGCATATGGGCTGCAACATTCTTATTTTATTATTCTTTTAAATATTTGTTTTTATATGCAATGCAGCTTTTTGTTGGCTTTTCTATGACAATGCATTAGAAGTATTAGAGAAGCCCTCGACTCATTTCTTGCGATACCTTTCCGTGGGCACAGTATCAAGAAGTGCGTCATATGTTTTCCTCCGTGAATGCCAAAGAACACACGACACCAGATTCAAAAGTGGGCTGTCATGTCAGTTTCCGTGTCCAGTTACACCAGCCACAATAAATAACTCATTCCCCAAAATCAAAACAGATTCTATCAGTGATGCTACCTAGTACACATATTGAACTAAAGATATACATAAATGAAATAAATGAAGAACTGAAATGCAGCTCTTTTTTTTCCTCCCATCACAGGTGGTAAAGTAAAATACTGTTTATATCAACCTGGAAGAAATATTTTTTCTCCATTTGTAAAAACACTCTTAAAACAGGACTGTCATCAGTGTTTGAAAACTATCAATTTTTTATTTAATTCTATTGGCATGTCTACTACAAATCAGTTCATAATTACATTTGTAAATATTCAAACTTCACATGGAATAGATGCTTGATGATCTGACAACATAAAAATAAACTTTGGTAATGTGACAAATGCTACAAATTGTGTCTTTTTTAAATGTTTAAAAGACGCATATTGTTGTGTAGTAGTCGTACATCACTTCACCAAATTAACTAATAACAATGTATATCTCCACAACTGTTTCATAACTAACTTACCTTGTAAGAACTGTACTTTTATATAAAACAGAGGTTTAATTGGCAAATTGACCAGTTAATCTTACATAGGCCACCTTATCAGGACATTGTGACCACATCCTTATATTTCTTTGAATAAAATAAATCTTTTACAAGATATTTGAGTTTTTGCACAATTAAAACCCACGTAGTCCTTTCACGCATACGTACGTACATACATTAGTCCCAACCTGCAATTATATTTGCGTTTCCTGAACATTCTCTTTCGAGTTTGTACGTATCAGTAAAGGTTCATGTATGGAATGGTGAAATGAGTTGACCGCTGTGTGATTGAGAGTCCCCATGTGGTTGCTGTAGCCGTACATGGGCTTGTATGTGCTGTAGAGCCCTGTGGGGTTAATGACCCCGTCGTGATTTTTCTGCTTGGGCGATCCCAGCGAAAGGTCCAGGCCCAGCGGCGAGGCATGGTGAAGGTAGTGCGGGTTGTGCTGCTGCGTATGCCGACCTCCCAGAGTCCCGCTGGCGCCGGCCCCCACGTCCTCGTCCACGTTGATGATTTCGATGGCACGTGCCTGGATCATGTGCCGCCCCTGACGGTGGTGCTGCTTGCGCAGCTTGTAGAAGATGACCAGCATGGCGGCCGCCATGAGCGTGATGGCCACGAAGCATCCGATGATGATCTTGGTGGTCTTCATGACCTCGTCGAGCCCTGCCGTGGACGCCTCGTCCCCGGGGCTCACCGAGACGGCCGCTGGCCGTGTGCCCACGGCGGTCTCATCCGACGGCCCGTTCAGGGAAAACGGCGTGGTGGTCAAACGCGGGGAGTGCGTGAACCCCTTGCCGTCCCTGGCACCGCCGCGCGTCGGTTCGCTCGTCTCAACCGTCACGGTGGTGAAATAGGTATATCCATTGGTGCCCGTGTCCGGTGCTGTCACATTCAATGTTGCCGAAGCAGTAGAGTTGCCAACAGAATTGGCCACGAGACAAGTGTAAATCCCCGTGTCTTGCACAGTAACGTTCGTAAAATTCAAAGTCCCATCGTGCAAAACAGAAATCCTAATTTTGTAAGATCCATGCGTCATTGACGTGCCGTTTGGGGTGATCCACGTCACGGAACTTGCAGATGATGGCGCTCGACATCTCAGCTCGGCTGCCATTCCCTCGCTGATATTCACGTCTGACGGAGGAACCTCGATTAATGGAGGGTAGCAAGTAAATCTGCTGGAGTCCAGCTCCCAAAGGTTAATTGCCTTGCGGTCCGCAGGTAAGGCGCAGCGTGCGCAGCAGGTGGCGTTGTTGGGTACGTTCTCCCTGAGCCACCAGCTGAGCCAGAGAATGTCGCAGTCGCACGTCCACGGGTTGTGGTGCAGATGGACCCGCTCCAGCTTCTGTAAAGGGCTGAACAAGTCATGTGGCAGAGACATGAGGCTATTGTGCGCCAAGTTCAGCTCTTTCAGGGACTGCAGCTCATCAAACGCATTCCTCTCCACCAGTCGCACCTCGGAGTGCATGATCCACAGCTTGCGGAGGTTGGCGAGGCCCTGGAAAGACCCTGGCCTCAGGACCTCAATTCGGTTCCCCGAGAGTTCCAGTTCCTCCAGTCTTACCAGTGGAGAGAGTTTCGGCACTTCACGCAGGTTGCACATGCCCAGGTTCAGGTAGCGCAGGTTGCTGAGGCCCTCGAATGCTTCATTCGATATAAACTGCAGCTTTGTCAGCTCTCCCAGGTCCAGCCGCTGCAACGACGGGATGCGGGTGAATGTATATGCCGAGATGTCTTCGATGGGGTTGTTCCTTAGCCACAGGTCACGCAGCTTTGAAAGGAATTCAAAGGCTCCGCTGGGAATGGCCGTAAGCCTGTTGTCAAGAAGCTCCAGAGTGGTCAGGCTCGTCAGCCCATTGAAAGCCCCCACCTCCACTTGCCGAATGGCATTGCGCGCTAACTGCAGCACCTCCAACCTGTGCAGATTTCTGAAGCTGTCTGCTTGCACCATCTTGAGGCTATTCTCCTGCAGGTTCAGAACCCTCGCCGTGTTGGAGATGCCACTGGGCACCTGATTCAGCCCCTTGCGGGAGCAGATGACACGGTTGAACTGCTGCGTGCATGAGCACACAGCTGGACAGGTCTGCCCCTTGACTGGTGGTAATAAAGTCACAACCATGGCAAAGAGGCACAGCAGAGTCACAGATTGCGTGATAGACGTTGGCAACCGGAGCTCGGATATTTGCCTTGGAATCTCCAAATCTGACGTCATCATTAATGCAACTGATTAAAGCAGCAAGAGAAGATTCTAAAAGCTCGCCGACAACGTTCATAATTTTCTAAATCTATGTACATTGCAGTGTGCATTGAAGAGTGCTGTACAACTTTCCACTCGCCGTCCACAAAGATGCATTGCTCCGCATATGTATGGTCCATGGGGGGTGGGTTATTTTTTTAGCCGCAGTCCGTCGAAACTTGGCAAATAAATTACGCGACAGCTATTATGTCAGTCCAACACGTACCGACCACATCTTTTTGACGGCAGGGCGGTTTTCTTTGCAGCAAAATGGCTGCGTGTGGAACCTTTTCATAGGAGCGCGTCCTTGCTCTCAGCTCTTTCTCTCTCTACATCACGAGGAATGACAGGAGGGGTGGGGGGGGTCCCCGTGCCGTGTTCACCAAAATGAGCTTGCGCGCACGCACAAAAACAACGGGTTTACTGGCGTCTTCTACGTCCCCGTTACGTTATTCCTCGGATAGATGTACTTTTTTTGTTTGTTCAATATGCTTTGTCGTTTGTTCTTATTCGCAGAGGATGTACTTTACACACGCAGCAAAAAAAAAAAATCGTTCTTAGATGAAGAACAACAAAAAAAAACCGTATCGATAAAACTTACTGCGTTTTCCTTCTCATTCAAGCGGCGATGGGTTTAAGTGTAGCTCTTGGTATTTCTGGCGAGGTTGATCTCTCTCTTGCTCGTTCGCGTAATTCCAAATTCGCGTTTCATTCGCGCAGCTGCTGCTGCTGCTGCCCCCTTCGTTTGGAGGCTGCTCCGAGAGTGTGGCGGGCGCAAGCTGCAGCTTCGCGATCAAAAGAACAAGGCACAGAGGAGGGACACACAGACAGAGAGAGAAAGACATAAAGATCAGCCAGCAAAAGAAACACATCAGGTTTTAGCCATTGCGCGTGCGTTACGTGCGTTACCGCCGTGCCGAATGCAGAAAGACGATGTAACAGCAGCAGCAGCAACAACAATAATAACTACTTGAGCGTTCGGTACCTTTCTGAAGATGATGACTTCCATTCGTTAGCGCCGTCACTTCGAACGTTGCGGAGTTCGAGGAGGCGGCTGGTGGTGCTGCTGTTGCGGCAGCGATTTTTTTTGTCGATGTCCTCGTTTCTTATTTCTCGACGACGGTCGGTGCACGAACAACAATTGCTGTTTTTGCCGCTCGAAAAAAGTCTTTTCACTGCCCCCCTCCTCCTCCTCCCCTTTGTCCGGTTGAAACGAACCCTGGCACGGCCCGCGAGCCTCTTCCCAGGCAGAGTTTGTTGTGTGTGGAGCTCTCAATCATTCGTTCGCTTCCATCACACACCCCCCCCCCCCAAAAAAAAAACCCTCTTGCTCGTCGTTCGGTGGGGGAGCTCCCCCAATATCTCTCGGGGGGGACAGGGGGGGAGGGTTAGAAGGTTTTTTTGGTTATTTAAACTTCCAAATGTCCGAGAAGAGCTGTGCAGCAGATAAGACCGTAGCAGCAAGTCACCACCTGGCAGTCGCTGCTGCTGCCGCTGCTGCTACTGCAGCCGCCGATGATCTCTGTTCCAACCCCCTCCCCGTGCACCCGCGGGGTCCTTCCGCCTTCCCTCGTGCGCTCGCTGTGACCACCAGCAGCAGCAGCAGCCCCACCACTCAGCCACCCATCACCCCCCCAACCCACCACCAGCAGCAGCAGCCCCACCACTCAGCCACCCATCACCCCCCAACCCACCACCACCACCACCCGGTGCGCTCGCAAGCACGCAGATGATGAGCGCCGGAGCAAGAGAGACCGCAGCCGGGGCAGAAGTGTTGTTTGCGAAGCTGTCGTGGTGTTGGTGGTGGTGTTGTTGTTGGTGGGGTTGTGGTGGTGTTGTTGGTGGTGGTGGTGTTGTTGTTGTTGTTGGTGGTGGTGTGGTGGTGTGTGCTAGCGAGTGGCGGGCGAGCACGTTTGTATCCCCAGGGGTAAGTTTAAATGGCCCAGCGGTGCGCAATTCTTTTTTTTTTCACTTCTTCGTCGTTCTCGTCGTCGTCGTCTTCGTCTTCTGCTGAACACTCATTCCTTCACTATCTTTTCTCTCTTTAGTTCGCGAACAGCGCGGCGTTCACTTCGTCGTAGTCGGCGACGAAATGAAAATCAACAGCAAGGCTCTTTGACGCATTTTCATTCATTTCTTCGGGGGGGGGGGGGGGGGGAGAGGAAAAAAAACGAAAATAATAAACGGAACAGTCCACAGGTATACTGCAAACGCGCGCGCGAACGCGTATTTCGCAAAGCGCCCGGTTTTGCTTGGCTTTTCCTTTCCTTTTTCTTGATAAAACAGCCTTCTCTTGTCCAACGAGAAAGTCTTTTTCGACAGCCACGGGGTGGAGGCTTTTTCCTTCTTCACACCCCCCCCCCTCCTCAACCACCACAAAGCACCTCTCTTTCTTTTATGTCATCCTCATGGGCTCGTTGACTTAAATCGCTCGCAGCATCTCCGAAGGCCGATGGTGGGGGGGGGGGGTTGTTGCTCGGCCAGCCACAACAACAGCAGCAGCAGCAGCTGCGATGCTTTCGCACAGACGCCAACGAGGAAGAGGAGGAGGAAGACGACGAGACACGCTAATCCCGCAGCGCTTCTCGCTGGCCGGCCGTCCGGGCAGGCTCACCCACTCGCTTCAAGCCCCAGTGCTACACCGTCGGCTTTGCTTTCACTCTTCCCTCCCCCCCCGTGCTCTCGTCCCCGCTCACAATCCCACCCCCAACGTGATGAATAAAACATAATCATCCAATTACTCCCCATCATCTCCGCGTTGATTGGTCAATTGGATTACCGCATGACGTGGCTGCTGCAATGCCACGTGACGAACATCGAACACCCCTCCTCCTCCTCTCCTCCTTCCTTTCCCTGCAAGTCTTAAGACTGCGCCACCTCTCTCTGCAGCGTGGGAAGGGTTTTTTTAAATCACCCTCCTCTCTCTCTCTCAAACCACTGCCACCACCAAGCCAAGCACCCGAGACAGACCGGCTAGCACACAGCGAAAGCCGCCTGCTGTGATGTGCTTCCACCCATTGGTGGTGCTGTGTGCTGTGTGTGGCTGTGTGTGTGTGGGCTGCAATAAAAGTGTCATTTGGGAGAGGGATCATGTTGACATTTTTGTTTTCTCCTTTGGATTACTTTGTGAACTTGTAATGTTTTTTGTACGGTTTGGTGGTGACCAACAAAAAAATACTGTCATTTAAAAAGGCAGTCCCTTTGTGTGTATTTGAGTTGTTGTTTTTTGATCAGCTTTCTAATTTCATTTTCTCCGTGTAACCTTGATTTAAGTACATCTTCCGTTGGCAGACATTGTGATTGAATTAGCATTTATAGTACAGTACACCGAGATAGAAAACTGGCATTCAAAGTAGATGACTCACACATCCAAGACTTGTACAAAAAATAGTATGGTTGTTTTTAGCCTCCTTGACTGTTGGATGTTCTTTAGTCATAAATCAATTCACACTTTCATCTTTACATGAGAGGCAACGTTCTATGAAAATGCTCTTAATTTTACAATGGTATTATTCATGTTCTCAATAAACATGGGCTCGTGAAAGTCGCTTAAGATTTAAACCGTTTATTTTTCGTTAAAAGTAAAGCAGTCTTTAATGTATTTTGACTCCTGTATTTTGAAAGTTTGACATTATTAATATAATATACTGCCTTACTATGCGCTTTGATTAAATGACATTTACTCGAACACCAGGATTAAATGAACGTTTCGAGACACTTTTGAGCATAGTTGTAGTTGAAAGCAAAAGTCTGTTCATATATGTCATTACTGACAAAGAAAATTTAACAAAAACTGAACAGTTTGGAAAGAAGCGTGCGAGAAATGCGTGCTCAGAATTAAGACGAGAGACGAGAAGGGCACCACGTGGTTAAGGGGACATATGCAAATCGAGAGAATAATATTGATCGTTAAAGAAATTCAGTGGCATGGGAAGGACACAAACGTAGGAGAGAGCTGATGGCTGATGCACAAGCCAAAGGAGAGAATGCACCGTAGACGACAACCGATGTGTTTGATTGCTTGTGGTATCGCGGATCTTGGGGAAGAATGACAGACGATGATGACGACGATAATGACATAACGACTTTCTTTTTTACAAAACAATTTTGCCAGTATTCTTTTATAATTAAAAACAAAAGAGCTTAAGTGTTTCTGGTAGCCAAGTTTCACTAATTGCTTTGTTGAAGAAGAATTTACTTCACGCATAATTTATGTCTGATATAAATACAACTCTTTCCTTTATTCGAGCGGTAATGCTCGATTGCTTTGGAACATTGCTTGTCCAAGACCTTGCACATTCACTTGGGGTCATGCTAGAAAAGCAAATTTTGGTTAATTCAGCAGAACCTTTATTTGTGGCACAAGAATTAGTGAGTGCACACACAGCCTAAGCTCTGACCCTTAACATTCTCCAGCTGTTGGTTGTTGTTAATTGGCTATTGACTGGAGGCCCAGTTAGCTCTCCACATTGTCTGCTCTAAGTGGCCTGATTGTTTCTAAAAATGCTCCCTTGGCTCCTCTGGTCTCAATGTTTTGAGGTTTTAATCACTTATTTGATTTCTTACTCTCAATAGCTCTGTAACTGTTACTGTAAACATATTTGTCCTGGAACGAATATTGATAGATTTTGACCATTTTGCAAACATATTACAGGGGCATATTTGAAAAAAAAATTGCGATGAAATGGATCTGGTTACTTATTAAATAAATGCGGTATTAAATAAGTGTTAATGATATTACCTTTGTTTGAGTGAACTTAAATATTCTTAACCGTTCAATATAATCTTATTGTCTTCAGCAGTTGTTTTAAATCCTACATTGGTGATTATTGCTTGTACATTGTAAGTTGGAAAATGTAGAGTTTGTGGAAGATTTGTAAAATGGCTCCATTGTGCCTGCTATTTTAGCAAGATGTTGGTAAAGTATTGACTTTGTGTCACCGGTTAGGTTTGGGAGTCATTGACTTAAAATATATAGATTAGTGGCATATTTCAGATTTTAACTGTATTGTCATTTACACAGCTAAACCGATTATCAACATGGAAGCTTGCAAAGTCCTGAGGGATGATGACAATAAAAGAGCTTTGACTTTGAGATCTAGTGGCTTGAGACTCAAGAGACATATTTTTTATCTTCAAGAGAGCGATGAAAATGGCATTAGTCACAATAGGTCCCTTTGACTATACAGTACGTGTCTACTTGTTATGGCCACATATGCTTTGCACATGTTCATTGTTATAGAGTATTGACTTGTTATATGTTCTAAAAGTGTAATGAAAAAAAATACTAGCAATGAGAAGTGAATTTGAAATGTTAAGGTCAATGAGCCAATGTTAAATTTACAGTTTTTCCCATTCCAAAAAAATATAACAATTGATCAATGTTGATAAACTAAACCCGCTTAAGCATAATTTAACTATTTTGATAGTAGAGGCATGGAAAGTTGAGAAAAGCTATTGTATGGGATATGCATGACAAATGTAAGGGTTAATTAGGGAATCGTTGAAAGAAACTATTTGAAAGTACACAATAATAATTGATAAAATTATCTCTTGCGAAACAACAGTTTTTGTGTACTTTTTAAAATCCACTGTCAGCCTCACCTGATGAAGCAGTTGAGTGCCATGTTGAGGGTACATTATGGCAAAAGTGGGGATTGGGGAGATGAGTCTGCTGTCAAATCACTTTATAGCAGCTAAAATATGTCAAATGGTGTGGCATTTAAATATTTTAAAATGTTGACTCTAGCCTACAACTGTTGCCAGCAGATTATTACAAATTGCAATGTGTGTGCGTAGAGACCTGTCTTTTGGAATCTCTCAATGCTAAGGGCATCAATAGCCTCTATTATCATACCCCATATTACAGCTTGACACTGCACAATGGAGCAATTTCAAGCTACTTGAATAGTAATGACGCGGATGTCTGTGCCGCACAGATAATGAAGGGTTGGCTAAGTTTGTCTGTAGGCAGTATATGGTATTTAAACATTTTCCAAAAATATTTAGCACGAAAAATACTGTTTAAGAATCCAATAGCAAGCTATGATAGAACATTTGACTTAGTGATGCTACTAACATTAAGGAAATTCAATGAGGCAATCTCAGTAACCAAGAACAAAAGTACCGTGGAAGAAACACAAATCTTAGTTTGCACACAAAGTATTTTACCCATTGCTAGCACTATGTCTAGGATGTCATTGGTTGTGTATACGTTTGAGAGATTGTGGCTATTTCTTATTACTTTAATAGCTTTGTAAGAAATGTGGAGTAGAGTTATTTGTACTTGATAGATATACAATGACATTGTGCAAATTTCCTGTTACAAGGAAATACAACTTTTTCAGGAAACAATTTAAGCTTCAGTTCAATTGTCCTACTTGAACCACATTGTGCATTTGATATGCATCTCGTACTGATGAAACAGACTGCACTGTTTAATTTGCCCTGCCATTATGGTAATTAGTTAAGAGTGGTGGCTTTGCCAGAAATACACACAGTATGTGAAACATCTGAAAGACGTTTCAGATTAATTGCGTATATTATTTCACATGCACTTTTGTTTGCAAATGCTTCATCTATATTTAAAATGTTAATTTGTTATGCGTTATAATGAGCTACCGAGGTATGCTATGTTATTTCAATTAGTAAAGTTGAAATGCAATATTTGATATTCAGTGCAGTCCTTACAGAGGCAGAAAAGTAGAAATGTTTATCAGACGTTACATGAGCCCATTCGTAATAAAATAAATAAATGCATAATTTACAGCTGTGCTTTATGTGCTTCTGGATGACTGCCTCTCAGCCGAGTCTGCAGGGAGGAGGGTTGTTTGTCCATACCTCACCGCGCTGGTCAAAGCGAGTTGGTGTCGGAGGGCCTGGGACTTTTTCAGCCACCACTTGTCACTGAGTCAGCTATAGGGCACGATTTGAACTCGGGTTGCTGACCTCATAACAAACTTTTAAAATATTTATTTTAAAAGTGGTAAAGTTACGAAATGGAATACATTCAGGTAAGCTCCAATTGAGATTTTTTTTGTATAGCCGTCTTGCAAAAGGAGACCTGGGTAACTGTAATTATAGTTTATTTTTGTTTACACTTGTACATAATTTTATCACAAAGTGTGGTAAAAATTGGGATTTTATAATTCACAAACTTGACATCTGCTAGTTCTATCCTTACCTTGCTACCTACAAGTCTAATATGAATGTTCAGTCCCCTCTTCTATTGTGCTACCTATCATTGTTAAACCTGTTTTTGTCAAAGTGAGATATATGTCTTGTCGCTAAGGGCAAGGTGTGCAGTCTTCCACACAATGTAGTGCATGTTGGTGCAACGCCATAATACTTATATTTGTGAACTGTGAGCAATTATTCATTGGTTCAGCTTGTAGAATACTGGTGTGGTCGCAAAGGTTAGCAGCACTCTGGACTTAAAATCCAAAGCTCGCCAGTCGATCTCCCCGTGTGGCAGTTGAAACAGTTGTGCAAGTTTCTTAAATCACCTGACCCTGTGCACCCAACAGGAAAACTGGGTATATAGCACAGGTAGTCGATTGGCGGATTGCGTGAAGTAGGATAAAGTGTGGGTACCCCCACCTCTTCATCTCCGATTAACACGGTTGGCCACATACGGTGCGAAAGAAGTTCAAGATACATAATTACATACAT